TCCAGGATAAAAACGTTCACAGTCACGTTGCTGCTGAGCGGAGGAACACCAGAGTCTGTGGCCTGAACTTTAAACTGAAACGTTTTTAACTCCTCGAAGTTAAACGACTGCAGACTGATTATATCTCCTGTCTCTGAGTTGATGTTTACAGCAGACGTTATGGGAATATTTTTTGAATCACCACCAAATGAGTATGTTACTCTAGCGTTTTCTTTTATATCAGGATCGACCGCAGTTATTGTATAGATACGAGCTCCAACTGGACTGTTTTCTTTCACATAAATATTAATGACAGGGTCAAGGAAACGAGGAGCGTTGTCGTTGACATCAGAGACGTGAACGGTGATAACGCTGCTGGTGGTGAGAGGCGGGGTTCCTTCGTCATTCGCAGTAATTGTAACATTGTACGATGAGCATTCTTCTCTGTTGAGCGGCCCGTCAACAACTAAAGAGTAGTAATTTTTGTAGTTAGATCGCAGCTTAAACGGCGTTGAACCGATCAATTTGCAGGCGGTGTGGCCGTTTTTCCCTCCATCTTTATCCGTCACCGTCACTAACGCGACGACGCTTCCTATATCTGCATCTTCTTTCACTGGGTTCATGAGTGACGTCACTACAATTTCTGGGGCATTGTCATTCACATCGACCACCTCCACCAGCAGCTTCCCATTCGCCCTCCGAGGCGATGAACCTCTGTCTGTTGCCTGGACATGAATTTCATAAGCCGACTGTGCTTCGTAATCCAAATTACCCGTAACTGTTATCTCGCCAGTTTCTGCATTGATAAAAAACACATCTGCAGGATTGAAGTTTGCACGCTTGACGAAAGAGTACATCACCCTCCCGTTGTCTCCCTCATCTAAATCTGTGGCATTCAGCTGAATTACTAATGATCCAGTTGGAGCGTTTTCATTTACGCGTGCCTTGTAAAGCGTTTTGCTGAACGACGGTGTGTTATCATTGACGTCGAGGACATTTACATGTATCTGTACACTTCCACTTTTCGGAGGTTTACCCCCGTCTACAGCGGTCAGTGTTAGTGGGACAACAGCTTGTCTTTCTCGATCCAAAGCTTTTACCAGCACTAGCTCAGCGGACACACTGTGTTCTCCGCTGCTCTGCACGTCTAGGGAGAAATATTCATTTGGGCTCAGCTTGTAGGTTTTCACTGAATTGCTGCCTGTGTCTGCATCAAGAGCCAGAGGAAGCAAGAAGTGTTCGCCCGTCGGTGAAGATTCAGATATATTTAGTGTATGTGACCTCTCCACGAATGAAGGTGCGTTGTCATTTAAATCAACAATTACCATTTCAATGCGGTGCAGAACCATGGGATTGTTCAGTATGGCCTCGAAGTTCAGTATGCATTTTATCGTGTTTGGACAAAGCTCCTCCCGATCTATTCGCTCATTAACATAAACATCCCCCGTCTTAACATTTGCCTCAAAATATTTCTTACTGTACCCGGAAACCATATTCAGGCTCCTTGTTTGCAAGTCTCGAACATTGACATTTAAATCCTTTGCGAGATTCCCCACCACGGTTCCTTTGTCCGCCTCCTCGGAAACAGAGTACAATATCTGAGCAGTACACCGGTCAGATAAAAACAGGATGAACAGCCAACATATATTTTCCTTTCTCCTCCAGACGCCCATCGCTGCTGTCAAAGGCATCGTCCCGATTCAAAATGTATTCATCCGCAAAAGGCAACTCGATCTCCCAGCAATTTAAATCCCATCCGCTCCAGTCCTCTGCTTTTCATCGCTATCTGCTCACAAAGCACTCGTGGTCTGCCGAGCTTCACAAGAAAAAGGAGGAGACCGAAAACACCGAGCTCATAAAAAACATGTGGTCACGAGCGACCCCACGCGGTAAAACTTGAGTATGAAACTAGTATGAAAATATTGAGCAGCATAACCTCTTTTTCACACATTAAAACACCAGTTATATACTGTTTCTAAAGTTTGAAATAGATAAAGCACACTTTAAACAATTTTCTTCTCAAAAGAAAAGTATCACAACAAATAATTCCAGATAAACTACAGCAAAAGACAGTGATCTAGATGATGAGAATATAAAGCTAGTACGGAGCCAAAGGCATGGATATATTCTGAGCTCAGCATTGTTGACTTGTTTGTTGAAGACTAGTCTTCTCCATTTAAATCAACAATGCTATGACAATCTATTGTTTGAAGCCTGTTCAGCATCTAATAAACCAATTTTACAACAATGTCACTTCAAAAAAACAAATAACCATTAACATTATTGACAGCCTATGCAATAGTGATCAAATAATACAACCACCACTACAACAACTGTGAGGCATCTAAGACCCAGAAGACAGCAATGTGTTTTCAGCACCATGGAGAGTGTCCCACTGCAGGAATCAGATCCCTTACAAAGTCTTGTTCACTCTTTAAACACAATTGGCTTTCTGTATTTTTCTATTTTAGTGAAATAAGACTTTGCAGATGGACGGAAATCACTCTCTGCTACATTATGTAATGTTTAAGTCTTTTGCATCAGAGTGTGCAAAGATTATTTGGGTAAAGAAAGACGGTAGAAATTTGATTTGACATTCAGACAAGGAATTTGACCTTCAGTGAAGATCTCAACTCACCTTATCTTTATTAGGTAAAGTCTGAGTCCTGGTATAAGTGTCTCCTCCGTTTATACTGATTAGTTCAGCATCTCCAGGCGGAAACGGTCCAGGGAAAACCACTACGTCACTCTTGAGCGTGTCTGAGCTGAAGCAGACGTCATACTGCTGAGTAGCTTTAGAGTAAGACCAGGTCCCGTCAGGGTGGGTGGTGATCATTGGGGCGCTGTACCTGCTGAAACTGCTGTCTGTCCTGTGGCATTTCACAGCTATTAAAGTGATGAGGCTCAGCAGAAAGATGACTGACACCGACACGATGCCGATCAGCAGATACAGGTTTAAATCAGAGAAGCCATCGTCCTTTGT